CTCGCGGTGCTAAAGTCCGAGGAGCGGTGTTCTGGCACGGTTTAGGGTTGTCAGGACGCAAGAGTCACGTCGACCCGCTGCGCTGAAGTCTCAAGAATGGGGTCTTGGCACGGCTGAGGTTGCTCATACGGTTGTCTTCCAATGGGGCACTTCCCGCAATGACGAACATCTTGTATGGGCCTATGAAGGGGAAACTTGGAGGAAGGGTGTACTGCAATTTCGTTGATGAATCTTGAGTTTACACTGGTTATCCTCCTACTCGCCCTCCTTCCTCTTCCACTGCTGCCCCCTCCCTCCTTCTCTCCCAACACCTCCACTTCCACCTCCGCCTCGTCCTCCTCCTTCTCCTGACCCTCCTCCTCTTCCTACTCCGTCTCCTCATTCCTCCTCCATTTCTTCCTCCTCCTCCTCCTCCTCCTCCTCCTCCATCCTCCCCCTCCTCCTCCTCCTCCTCCTCGTCCTCCTCCTCCTCCTCCTCCTCCTCCTCCTCCCTCCTCCTCCTCCTCCTCCTCCATTTCTTTCCTCCTCCTCCTCCTCCTCCTCCTCCTTCTCCTCGGGGCGGGGCCACGGCCGAACAAGAAAACACCCGAGCAGGAGCCCGGAAGGCCAAGGCGGACAGCCCTGGTGGACGCCCACGGCGACGCCCTGGGCTGCCAGAGCAGCCCGGGGCGCTCGGGGAGGAGGACAACGACCAGGACCACGGCGCACATGGCAGGCAGATCTCTGAATCCACGAACTGGGTGCGGAAGCTTGAGGGCAGGAGGGACGGACAAAGGGGGGCTGGGGGGGGGGCGGGGAGGGGCGGTCGTAGCGTCGTGGTGGTGGCGGTCGTCGTGGGGGTGGTCGTGGAAGCATTGGTGGTGACCACGTCCTCCTCCTCCCTCCATCCCCCCCTCCCTTCCCTCCTCCTCCTCCTCCTTCTCCTCCTTCTCCTCTTCCTCCTCCTCTGCTGCGTTCTCCTCCTTCTCCTCCCTCCCCTCCTCCCTCCTCCCTCCTCCCTCCTCCCTCTTCCTCCTCCTACCCCTCTTCCTCCTCCTCCTCCTTCTCCTCCTCTCGTCGGGGGGGAGAAGGCGTCCCAAGCCAGCACGCCAGCGGCACCTCCTCCTCCTCCTCCTCTTCTTCTACTTCTTCTTCTTCCTCCTCCTCTCCTCCTCGTCCTCCTCCTCCTCCTCCACCATTCAATTTTCCGTGTGAATAACTCCTCCCTGTCGCGCCCCGAGGCCAGTCGGAAGGGCGGCCGGGCGTGTCGCCTGAGACTTCCTTTCGACGCATGAGCCCCAAGCTGAACAACTTGCAACAGCTTCACAGATGGAGGGCGGGTCGTTTTCAACATGTGGCCCTAGCCTTAGGGCCGCGCACATTCGGTTTAAAACTTTGCAAGAGCTTCATGGATTGCGGGTGGGTGGCTTTCAAAATGTGGTTTCGCCTTTTCGCCGCGCACATTCTTGTTAGAAATCCTTCAGAGCTTCACGAAGTGAGGGTGGGTGGTTTACGAAATGTGGTTTTCGCCTTTTCGCCGCGCACATTCGCTTTACAAGTCCTTCAGAGCTTCACGTATGGAGGGTGGGTGATTTACGAAATGTGGTTCTCGCCTTGCCGCCGAGCACATGCTTTTAGAAATCCTTCAGAGCTTCACGGATTGAGGGTGGGTGGTTTACGACATGTGGCTCTCACCTTAACGCCGCTCATATTCGTTGTACAACTTTGCAACAATTTCAAGGCTGCTCGTGATTTACGTACCAGAAGTGGCGTGTTTGAGCGATTCAGGATTGACAGAGCGCAACAGTACTGCTAATTCACTGTGTTCGAATCCCACACGTGATTTTCTGGCACGATTCAGGATCGTCCAGACGCATCAGTTAAGTTGACTCTTGGTGTTGAAATTCGGAAAATGATGTTTTGGTGCGCGTCAGGATTTTCAAACGGCTGTCCCCCAACGCTGTAGGTGCCTATGAAAAAAAGGAACTTGGAGGAAGGGTGTATCCCAACATCGTTGATGAGTCGTGAATTTGCTCTGGTCCTCCTCCTCCTCCTCCTCCTCCTCCTCTCCTACTCCTCCTCCCTCCTCCCTCCTCCCCTCTCCTCCTCCTCCTCCTCCTCCTCCTCCTCCTCCTCCTCCTCCTCTCCTCCTCCTCCTCCTCCTCCTCCTCCTCTTCCTCACTCCTCCTCCACTTCCTCCTCCTCCTCCTCTCCTCCTCTCCTCCTCCTCCCCTCCTCCTCCATCTCCTCCTCCCCCTCGTCCCTCGTCCTCCTCCTCCTCCTCCTCCTCCTCCTCCTCCTCCTCCTCCTCCTCCTCCTCCTCCTCCTCCTCCCTCCCCCTCGGCGGGGGCGACTCCACGCAGGTGATGCCCCAATCGATGCCGCTGTTGTGGCCCGCCCCGTCCACCCCGGAGCGCGCCTTGGGGGCGGTGGCGGCGATTCGCGGGCACAGGCGCGGGGAGGGCCCAGAGGCCGAGGCCGTCTGGGAGGAGGATCTTCAGATAACTATTCGGAAGGGGAGGGAGAGGAGGAGGGGGAGGGGGAGGAGGAGGAGGAGGAGGAGGAGGAGGAGGAGGAGGAGGAGGAGGAGGAGGAGGAGAAGAAGGAGGATGAGGAGGAAGAGGAGGAGGAGGAGGAGGAGGAGGAGGAGGAGGAGGAGGAGGAGAATGAGGAGGAGGAGGAGGACACGCACATGGCTTGGGGGTGTTCGATGTGCGCCGCGAGAGAGCGCGGCCGACTATGGAGGGCTTAGTGCCTCCTCTCCCTGGGTCTTGGCACGCTCCTCGCGCACCAACTGGGCCAGGGGAATAGCGGGGGTCTTAAAAACGATCGGGGACGACTTTGTGCCCTTGGGATCTCGACCCTCCTGGACGCGGGCTAGCTGAGTGGCCGCTCCTTGGTGGCTCACTCTAGTGCTGCACGCACTAGCGAGCCCTCGACCCAACCCTTCAGAGAAGGATCCACACTTATGGCAAACCAAGATACTCGTCGGGTGATCAAGGTGCTCGTAGTAAAACAAATCGTGGCCTTTATTATCATGCACAAGATCGGAGAGCTGCTTACAGTGGCCTGGGCAATGCTGGGCCTGTAAGACTCCCCGCTGTTTGAAAGACTTGGTCTGCACTCTACACAGGATGCACCTGTGGTACTGGTGAATGAGAGCCCATGTGTGGTACCTGAAGGGCTCTCTGGGCTCCTCTTGGGGCACAGGCGGAGGCGGAGGGGGGGGGGGGCTCGACCGACGACGGCGGCGTCCACGACGAAAGGGCAGAGGCGGCACCCGTGGGGGGAGAAAAACTCTTCTCTGGGGCGGCCAAAACTTTGTTGCGGTGGGGGGCGATCGCGGGCCACTCTCCCAGAGCCTGCGCAACATACTTCAAATATCGCACGATAAACTTCCGACTGTCAGTGAAATCACTTTTCTCTGCTTCACTGGGCTGCATTCCTTTAAAAGCGGCTGCCTTGGCAATGCGGTCAGCAGTGCTATTACCTTCGGCCAACCTTCTCTCTTCACTGCCTTCTGAGAGGGCCTGCAAGTCTTGGTGGGCCTTGACCTTGCGCAGGCGTTGGCCGAGGGGGAACTAGCTCCTGCCAGCCAAGACCTTACACCCAGCCCATACGTTGTGCCGAGGGTACTCAGACCCTTGGTGCAGGGACAAAACTCGTTTATAATCAGAGTAAATGACTTCCACATCCCTAGAAAGAATACTGGCCGCAACAGCGGCCAAATGCTCCGCGGCACCCGAGGTTTGTAAAAACATCTGGCCGACTCGGCCACTGAAATGGGCAAAAGCTTCACCGTTACGCATACAGACAACCGCGAAACCTGCGGCGTTGAAAACATAGTGACCGTGGTTAGTGCAACTACCATCTATATACACCTCCCCTTCGCTGAAAGCCTCCTGCGGGGTGATCCCCTCCTGAGCACACCAAAACTCCCCAAACTCCAGGCCCGAACCAGGAGGATTCTCTCCACGATACTCGGGAACCAGCTGGAAACCGAGATACTGGGGCAGGGTCTGGGGAGGAGGCTCTCTTAAATTCTGAAGCTCCGCTGCCGAGAAGTGAGTGGTTCTGAGATTCTCTGTCTTCGGGCAGTAAAGTATGCGGTGGCCGAGGTTGTCCGAATGGTGGCCGCACTCGCAGCCAGTCTCGACTTCATATCCTGCTGCCTTGGCTCTGTCCATAGTCCATATACTCTGGGTGAGGAAGGCGAGGAGGGTTCCCTTCTGGTGGCCAAGGAGGTCTGGCGATGACAGAGCAGCACGGGCAGCAACCACATCTAACTGGGCGTTCGGGTGGCCGATCTTCTCGGCCGCCTTGGAAGCGAGCTGGCCGTGCCAGTCGAACTCCATGAGCTTTTGGAGGAGGGCGGGGGAATGTCCTGGGAGAGGGTACTCAATGCCTGAGGAGGTCACAAAAGTAAATGGTCCCTGGAATTTCCAACCGATCCTTTTAAGCGAAAGCACCGCAGCGCTTAGGGGGCCCCTGGAGGAGCCCCAAGATTTAACAACTCTCGGGAGGATGGCCTACACGTAACTGCTGGAGGCTGGTCACGGCGAGGTGGGGGCGGGTGGCGGCGTCCCAAACAAGGCGATGCCACATAATGGCGGGGCCCAGGGCAGCTTTCCACAAGGGGTCCTTGAGGATGAGCAGAGCCAAACTGCGGCTGCGCGTCGGGCAACGGGGTCCCGCAGCAAAAACTGCGACCTAGCTGATTCCAACTGCGTGCCATTGATGCCAGTCACCTCGACTCCGAACGTGGTGGCCGCCTCGAGGCCAGTCCCATACAACTTATGAGTGTTACCCCCTGCTCTCTTGAGCATGCGAACCCTGTTAAGTCTTTTACGCATCTTATCAAGACGCTCCGAAATCTTACGCTGCTTTCTCCAGCGTCGTTGGGGCCGTCCAGCCCCAGTTTCACAACCCAGGTTAGGTCCAGACCTATCCGAGTTCGGGCCCGCCAGAGGCCCGAGGGCCGTCCTGAGTTGATCCTGAAGGGCTTGCTGGGACGCCAGGACCTGACTTTTCTTGCTGGCGATCTGGCACTTAAACTCATTGATGATGCAGTCTGCCATGGACCTGGCAGCAATATTGAGCTGGCTGGCGATGAGGCTGCAACTGCGGCCGTGGCACTGGAGCAGCAGATCATCTATAAACATCGCGAGCCTGATATGACAATGCGCCTGCGTCCACACGTCGAGCGGGGCGAGCACATACATTTGCACAATATAGGTGGCCCAACTGCATCCTGCGGCTATGCCCCTCCAAGGCTTGCCTACGCTGACTGCACAATCTTGTAGTGCAACTATGCGTTCACTGGCATATTGAGATAGTATGATACGCAATAAACAGCACGGAAAACCTGATTCAACAGCACGATAAGCAAGACAAGGCCGATCAACATGTTCGTAGTAGTTAGATAAATCGTAGAGAACTTGGGCACTATATTGTTGATCTTTGTCAGAGCTGTTGAACTCGCATTCCAAGGATTGTTTGTATACTAATTCCACTATGGAGTGACCAGCCTGATGAGCAAGATACGGCCTGCGGTGGTGTGCCTCCCACTCTCTGGCCGCTGACCTCCTGAGCCTAGCCCAGACTCTGTACAAAGCTGGAAGCATGCCAATGGACCTGAAAGAGGGCTGGCTGGCTGGGGCATCATGCTGTTTCAACTTCATCATCAGAGTCGATACGATGCCTTGGAGCTGGGTTGGCATATGTCCAATCTTTTCCAGCAGGCCAATAAAATCGCAGACAATCTCTGCCTGTTCGTTACTCAACATACTGAAATGCCTAGGGTGGAACCCGTCCCAGGTAGTGGCAGTGGCATGGGGAAAACTTTTCGCAACCTGTCGTAATCTCTTGGGGCTGATGGGGCCCAGGGCAATTCGATCTTCTCTGTCAGGAACGAGCTGAGGTGGGGTATCCTGGGAAACCTGCCATATTTTTGCCAGACGATCTGCTTCAGCCTGCAATATATGCTGGGGCCTGCCAGAATACTGCGACTTAAATGGAACTGACGAGGGCCTCCAGGCCTCCAAACGCTTGGTCCATCTGTGAGCCCATCCCATTCCTCCCTTCATGTTGTCCTGAACCCAATCCCTCCATGCCTTCCCGTCTGCAGCGTTCTCTGCCGCCTGCTCCTGATGCAGGAGCTTGGTGACGTGCTCTAGCAGCTCGTCCAGAACCTGGATCGCCAGCGCCTGGTTCAGGGCACCAGCGCTGAACTCAACGCGCAACAGACCTGCAGCAACTCTAATCTCTTGCAGCCCCTCCTTGAGGGACACGACGGTGGTGAACAGCTCAGGGCAATCCTCTAAGCTGTCGAGAGCGTCCTGAAACTCAGTGAGATTCCAGTCCTGAACACATCTATGGAAATCTTGGATCCTATTGATGAGCCATCTCAACGGGCCCGTGTAGGCCACCCATTTGGCCCTACTCCTAGCAGCCTTGGCCTCAGCGAGGACCATAAGAACCTGAGGGGGGGGTGGGCCCTGGGGTACTTGCTAGGCTTGAGGGGGGTGTTAGTTTTCTTACTGATTGTAGCTTCCAAGTCCTGGGCCAAGCTGAAATACACGTGGTCCAGGAGCACCGACTGCTGTTGATCGCTGAGCGGCCGTCGAGCATCATCGATCAATAGTGAAGCGTACTCCAATGCAGCAGCTGACTGGTGCCAACTCACTTCTGGCAATTGCGGGCCCACAGGGATACGTGTGGGTAGCTTCTGGGGCCTATGCAGCGTGGGGATATTAAAGTTATTCCCAACTACAATATCTAGCAGCACAGGTCTGTGAGGGGAGAGAGGATACGAGGAAAGAGTACGGGGGTTACTGAGCCACGGCGAGAGGCCTTGGCTAGACAGGAAATAATCTAGCGTGGATTTGGTCTTCTTGTTTCGGTAGGTGGCGGTCGGCGGCGCAAGCAGGGTCATCGTGGACCTGGACAGAAACTCCGCTTGGGCCAACCTAGCGGGGGCTAGGTTAAAATCCCCCGCAACCAAAACTGGATGGGTCAAATCATCCTGAAGTTGGCCTATGGCGGCCAGCAGTTTTAAATTGGTCTCGGAGAGACCAGCAGCAGCCTGAAAGTAGGTACAACATATGGCGAACTTCGGGGCCCCAGGAAGTTCGAGCAACACCCCCGATAATCGAGCGGGGTCGAAAGCGGCAGAAAAAGTGATTGGCTGGACCCCCAGGTCCAAGCCATCCCGAATCAAAATCGCAACTCCCGAAACCAACTCATTATTCTCACTCGTGGCTGCAGGCGTGATGTAAGCCAGCCACCCCTGGGCCGAGCACCATTGTATCTGACGCACAATGCGATCTCCTTCGGCAGGCTTACGCTCCTGAGCACAGATGATCGTGACTGCACTAGACTGCGGCGAAAGGACAAACTTGCGCACAGCAGGCCAGCAGGAACCATTGATAGTAGCGGTCTTATAAGTGTTACCCTGGCGGCTTCTGGCCCTGGGTGGCCGCGAGAGACGCAGCCTCGGCTGCCGCCTTGACCCTCTTGGTCTCGGGGCCTGACTCACTCTGGATCTTGGCCATGCCCTGGGCGACCTCGGACAGCGCAGCAGCCGCACGGCGGCGGCCTTCAGACGTATCCATGGCCTGCTCCTCTGCCATGGACTCCAGCTCCTTGTCGTCGGCGGGAGTGGGGACGTGCTGGCCTGGGATGGGCACGGGCGTCTGACTTGCCTGGCCGACATCAGGGCTCTCTCCAACTGCAGGGAAGCCGTCGATGACCCCGCGCTGGGCCGCCTCCGCAGGCGGGCCGCCACCTGCTGGTGCGCCCGAGGCCTGGGATGCGACATGTTGCTGCTGCAAGGTGTCGAACATGGCGGCCAGCTCCGATACTTTATCTCGTAGTTCAGGTGGGGCCAGCCCTCCTTGTGGCATTCTGGCGGATATAACTCCTTGAATGGTGGTGAGCAAATCTTCAGCGTTGGATGCCTCGTATGCAGCCGCCTGGGTGGCCGCATTGAGCTGTGTCTCCAGCGTTTGCACTTCTTTTGAATTAGCTTCGATCTCCTCGACCAGCTTGCCGTCATATTCACTTGCCTCGACAATAGTAGTGACCAGCTCGCTGGCCTCCTGCTTCTGCGACTGCAACCTCTGGCGCAGCACCTGGAGTTGATCTGACAGGGATTGTGCTTGCTGCTCCAGGCTCTTGGCTGATAGCGCCTGCGCCTTGGCGAACTTGAGCTTGCCCAGCGCCGCCCTGTGCTCCTCTCCATCTGGCTTCCACTTTTTCCAGAAGGTGACTTGAGCTTGGGCCAGGGCGACTGGGTCGTCAGCGGGAACTGCATCCTCGAAGGTGACCACTCGGCCGCCTCCGCGCCCCAGGCCTGGTGGGCGCTCTGGACCGCGGGAGCCTTTCCTCCAGCGTCCTGGCTTGGCGGACTCCTCCTCGACGTCAGGCCGAACATCCTGGGGGCCACCTCCACCGCCTTGGGGTCTAGCTGGGGGACCATGATCCCCGCCCTGCTTGAAACGGCTGCCACACTGCATGCAATGACGAGAATTCGTCGCGCACCAAGCCCAGCCCTTGCAACCTCGCTTCGAGCAGACCATGTACTTCTTCTGCTGCTGGGCGGGCATCTTCTGATGATGGCAGGGCGCTGGCGCACGCACACGAGAGGCCCTATGGCAGCACTGATGCGGGTCGTGATTGTGCCTCTGCCTGGGGCTGACCAGGCGGCACGGGGGCAGAGCAAACAAGCTTGGGCCCCAGCACCCAGGGCCTGCCCTGGATGGCAATGCTGAGACCTGCACCTCCCGCGGTGTGCTCAGGTCTTGAGCCAGGAGGAGGAGGAGGAGGAGAGGAGGAGGAGGAGGAGAAGAGGAGGAGGAGGAGGAGGAGGAGGAGGAAGAGGAGGAGGAGGAGGAGGAGGAGAAAGAGGAGGAGGAGGAGGAAGAGGAGGAGAGGAGGAGAGAGAGGAGGAGGAAGAGGAGGAAGAGGAGGAAGAGCAGGAGGAGGAGGAAGAGGAGGCGGAAGAGGAGGAGGAGGATTTTTTTTTGTCGACCCATGAACAGCCACATGACTCCGCTGGCGTGGCGAGTGCCAGCGAGATGCACCAAAAACGGCGCAGGCCGCGCCACCGACGGGGCCATGCCCCCGTGGCGCGACCTAAGCGCGACCAGGGAGCGCTGGGAGACCGTGCTCCGCGCTCCCTGGTCGGGGTGGGGGCGCGAGCCGTGCTCAGCGCCAACCCTACCCACCACCCACTCCATGGGTGGCCGCGTTTTACGGCCCCGGGACCACGACACGACGCGACACGACAGGGGGACGAAACGAACGACGCGACACGAACGACACGAGACGGACGAGCGACACGACGGAGACGAGCCGCCAGCCCCGCCCCAGGGCGGCGAGTGCTGGGGGGGACCCAGCACCGCCCTGGGGAAGCACACGGGGCCTGGCGACCCCCCCGGGGGAAGGAAACCGCACTTTGGCGGCGTCCCCCGGGGTGCGGGGGATTTTCGCCCCTCGGGCCCGGCGCTCCCCGCCTGCGCCAGGAGGACCCTGGGGTCCCGACCCCTCCCCTACGGGAAAGAGGAGGAGGAGGAAGAGGAGGAGTAGGAAGAGGAGGAGGAGGAGGAGGAGGAGGAGGAGGAGGAGGAGGAGGAGTAGGAGCAGGAGGAGAAGAAGTGGAGGAGGAGGAGGAGGAGGAGGAGGAGGAGGAGGAGGAGGAGGAGGAGGAGGAGGAAGAGGAAGAGAGTAGCACGGCTCTGGGGCACCCTCACCCCGTCTTTGATCCCGATGTCCTGGTGCCGCGACCCTTGAGACCACGTTGAACGCGAGCGTACGTCGTGCTTGACACGTAAAGTCGGGGCAATCAGGAGGAAAGGGAGGAGGACGAGAAGGAGGGTGAAGGGGATCTCCAGGATTCCCAGGGGCAGGAGGAGGAGGAGGACATATGAGGACCCGTGCAAACCCAAGACTCATCAACGATGTTGAAATACACCCTCCCTCAAAGATCCCTCTTCACAAGCCCCTACAAAGGGTCATTGCCACTGAAAGAATTGCCCCGTTGGGGGTCAACCGTGTAAACATCTTGAAGCGTGCCAAAATACCATTCTCAGGACGTCAATGCCACGAACTAAACCTGACTGTTACGTCTTGGCGATCCTGGATCGCGCAAGAACGCCTCTCCTGGGACTCCAGCGCCGCGAATCAACGTAATTCATTGTTGCGCCCTGACACTCGTGAACCGCACCGCTCCAAAACACCCTCTCTGGTACGTGAGCCAGACAGACAGGCGGACAACACAGCCAGACAGGCCAGGCGCCCGGACGGCGCATCGGCAGCAGAGCTCGGCCGAATCAGCAGGACACAACCAAGGAGCCCCCTCGAGCACCACTCACGTCATCCTTACCCCCTGCGCGCGGGAGAGTCGCTTCCAAACGCACCTCCAAGGACCGGGCGTGTCCCAACCCGGCGCCCTCGCTCAAGACATCCTCGCAAAATCACCACTCAGGCCCCCAAGGCACCCCCAAGGACCATTTCCGGCGCTGCACCGGGCGCACCGGGCGCTCCGGGCGTGTCCCAACCCGGCGCCCTTGCTCGAGACATCCTCGCAAAATCGCCACACGGGCCCCCAGCGCACCCCCACGGACCATTTCCGGCGCTGCACCAGGCGCACCGGGCGCGTCGGGAGTGTCCCAACCCAGCGCCCTCGCTCGAGACTTCCTTGCAAAATCGCCACTCGGGCCCCCAGCGCACCCCCAGGGACCCCCAGGTGATCCCCGCCCGCCCGATCCTCACCCTCCTTGATCTTCCTTCTCCTCATCCTCGCTCTCCCGATCCTCACCCGCCGCACCAACGTTGCCCGCTCTCTATCACCATCGTCATCGAGCGCAGGCGCGCGCGCCTTGTTTGTATATACAAAAAACCCCGATCAACCGCAGAGTGGAGAGTTTCAAGACCCGGTGACAGACGGAGTTATAACCCAGTAAGATGTACTTATTCTTGCGTCCATACCTCAGACCACTACAGTCGGGGCCCTGAAGAAGGAACCCTTTTCGTTGGGGAGGGGCTCCGCGTTCCTTAAGTGTTTCACAGCTTGCCTCAGGTTTTCCTTATGTTTTCGATCGGAAATCGAAGTTGAACTTATGGAAAAAAAGGGGCCTCGTTCCTTATTTAGGGTTCCTTAGGTCAACGTCCCGACTGTAGGGTCCCACGTGGCAAGGACGACTGTCCCTGAATGATCAAGTGCACTCAGTCTCCCTGGGGGATCCCGCAGGCTCAAGGCAACACCCGAGAGTTATTGAGCAGGGTGGGTGCCCAACTGAGGGCGACTCTTGTGCTGGGGGCTGCTGCTGCTGCTGCTGCTGCTGCTGCTGCTGCTGCTGCTGCGGCTGGGGTGAGCTTCGCTTTTAGCCACAAAGGGTCGTCCTCGGCGCATGTGCCCGAGATCTGGGGTATCCCAGAGCTCCGATCCACGATGGCTTTTGCCCGCAAGGGCAGATGC